ATAAAAGCAGAGCTCGCTATAGATATAGTGTTGCTGAAATCAGGACAGCATATGCCTCTCTCTCTGCCATCGAGCACCATAATCAAGAGACATAGTACTAGAACATAGTCAAGATACATAGTGTTCAAGGGTTCCTAATTCGGTTTGGGACCTGATTTGGTGATCTGGATCTGATTCATTTTGAACCAATTTGGACCCAAATAAATATTCAGAAATTTGAATACCCACCCTTCCTATTGATTTGCAATTTTAACATGTTTTTAGTTAATATTCATTAAGTTTGGAGACACCGTAGAAACCTCAGAGAAGATTATTCTTGCCACATTTATAATATGTCAAAGAAGGGGCTTTGTGCTAGACACTTCACTGTGTGCCTGCTTCATTAATTTTATATTAGGAGAGGAGACAGGAAGGGTTGGGGCAGGGAAGCTGGCTGAAATAAATGGGAAGCATTTTCTTACCTGGGAGTAAGCCTCTTTTAACTCTGGGGGATTGATATTATAGTGGATGTGTTATAGGTGTACTGAGCTGCACTTGTTATTGTTATTGTCTGAAGACAAAGGGGCAGGGCAGGGCGTGAATTTGCTGACCTGCATGCATTCTTTTGCTCCAAAATCCTGAGTGGACTGGGAGGTGTAACTAGGATTCCCATTAAGTTAAACGTGCCATGCTTCAAGGTAAGTGGGCATAAGATTGCTGCATATATTTCTGATACGTCTGTTTCCAAATGACCCAGGAAATGTATATTGATTCACATCGTTTTCATTCTGGATAGAATAAAGCACATTAAGAAAGTGTGGTTGATTTCCCTTCACCAAGTACTGTATTTCAGCTCAAATCCTTGTAACTTCTACAAAAACATCATACATGTACACACCAGGTAAAGTTAACACAGTAGCCTCTCCCAATCTGGATTTTCTTGTCAAATGTAAGCCGAATGTGCTAAATCAAATGCCAATCAATTTAGGGCTTCAGATTCCCCCTCCCACCCAGAAGTCTCAGATCCCTGCCTGGTTCATGGCAAAACTGGTGGCATGTGTAACCACATACTGTATATATAAACACACGAGAGAGTAGAAAGTCTGCTATCAGAATTTGCACTGCAAAAAAAAAAAAAAAAAAACCACCAAAAACCGCAGAAACAGTCTCAGCAGTTCGTGTTCATGTTGGGGGATGGGGAAGAGCTAGAATCTGATCCAGACTGCCGGTGGTAGTGCTAAGAATATTTCCCCCCCCCCAACGTGCTGTGCCATTTCCCCAGAACAAAATATCCTCTGACCAGTAAGTGCTCGTTTGTTCCAAATGATGAAAAAATACTCACCAAGGAAAGCAGGGGATTTTGACTGAGAAAGGAGTGGACTTAAAATCATCCTTCCCTGGAGCTGCCTGTTTCTTTGGAAAACTGCAGAAGCTCCAGTCACATCTCTCTGTGTAAGTCTTAGGCAGCAACGTGTTTTACCAATTTCAAGCCCTCTGTGTGCTGCCTTTAGTTGATTTAACAGCAAGTCAGGCAGCTAAGAACCCACCGGAGGCAAATGAAAGATCCTTTTCAGGCCAGATGTGTCTTCCGTCCCACCACTTAAAACCACACAGCTGCTTTGTATAGTAAATTTGTTTGGCTAAAGATTGCACAGAGGCTGGGCAGAATTTTCAACAGTGGCCAAAATGGAAAACGGACACAAAAGGCGAGAGTTTAGTTTCCTGTGTTTGTTGGTCGAACGGTAGTCCTGCCTGCAGAGCTCCTCCTTGTGTGGACAATTATTTGTGTTTTCTAGTTCATTAAATATTAATGAAATATTAAATATTTTATTTTGTGTTTGTTTTATTCAAATGGGCAGTTTTACAATCACCCATGGATGAACTGAGCCTTCACCAATCAGCTCAGCTTTCTGTATAGCGAGGCCTTTTGGAGAGGGGCCATACAAATCACCTAGCTTCACCTTGCTCAGAAAATGCTGAGTTTGTGGCTTGCTCCAAAAACATGATCAAAGAACTGAAAAATAGGGGATGATGCCCTTTGAAATTCAGGCCTGTTAGTTTGTGTCTGCTGTTAGTTTGTGCCCAGGAAGAGCAAGCCAGGAGGGGTGGGGAATAAAATGTCCATTAAATGTTAGGTCATATCTTTTATGCCTTATCTCTGTGAGAAAGGAATTTTCAAGATCATAACTCACTCCTTGGTACTGAGTGAGTTAGCAAAACTTTTTTCAGGAGAAGAGAACAGAAGTGAAAGAGAGAGGTTACTTTAGAGAAGTTATTTTGTTCTTTGTTTTGTTCTTTTTTGCTCCATAAGACGCACCTTTCCATAAGATGTACCAATTTTTTAGGAGAAGAAAACAGGAAGGAGAAGTTACTTTGTTCTTTGAGAAGGTTCAAGGTAATTCGATGCCTGTTTTGTGCACCCCCTTGAAGGGTCTCAAAAGTGGAATGATGGTTATGAAAAGGGGGAAAAAGTTTGCTTGGTTTAGCCTAGTCTCTCTAAGTACCCCTGTTTTGTGGGGGGAAGTGCGTCTTATGGTGCGAAAAATACGGTAATTTGATGCCTGTTTTGTGCACCCCCTTGAAGGGTCTCAAAAGTGGAATGATGGTTATGAAAAGGGGGAAAAAGTTTGCTTGGTTTAGCCTAGTCTCTCTAAGGAGAATGATGTGCCTTGCTACCTGATTTGTTCTCTTCACTTGCTCTGGAACCATGCTGAAGTTCTACTTGCATGCATTAACTTAGGATAGCTAGCTTTCTCGTTTTCTTGTGGGAGCTGTTCCAGAAGTGTTTTTGCCTCAAAATCTTTTTAAATGTTTATTTGCTCCTCAGATTTTTTACCACTTTCTCAAGTTTGGAAATGATTTTTTGTATGTGTGAAATTGTCTGGAACTGTACTCCTTTTGACTGTTTTCATATTTAATAAAATATAAAATTTTACAGCTGTTTGGTTATTATAGAAGTAAGAGGATTGTTGGTACTAAAGACAGGTCTTGCCTTTATCACCTATTGGATACCTGTGCATTTGTGGATATTTTGGAATTCCTACCTTGCATGGTGAGTGTGACAGTCGAAAGCATTCAACCTTGAGTATTTTGGCAACTCCCTGGAACCCTGGGCAGTCACTGAACATGTTAGGGAAGGTATCAGGTGGGAAGATTTCCTCTAGTCTTCAGGACAGCTGGCCCACGTGGAATTTATCCACATCAGGAAAGCTTTGGCAATGTGGCTGAGTGGTTCATGTGGGCCTCTCTGGCTGGCATAATCTTGACAATTATTTAGTCCAAAATCCTCTCAGGTAGCTACACAAATGGTACAACTTCTGGAGGCCTATTACCCCAAGTTAAGAAATCACTACAAATATCACTTGCATTCTGAGACACTCATCTCATTTATGAAACAGATTAATATCTAAAGTGATTTCTTAATTCACCTCCAAAAGTTAGGCTGTTTGTGTTATGCCAGAATATTTAGGCAAGAGGATTTGTGCGTTAGTGTCCCATGATCTGTGAGACACTGAAACCAAGTGTTTATTGGACCTTTGTGTTGAACTTGGCTACAAGAGGAATTGGTTGCCATGACCTCAGTAACTGCTTGGGATGATTGCATGGGAAAGCTGCATATTATATTCTTAATGAGTACGTACTTCTAGGCAAAACTTTTTATAGCACTGTAATGGGGAAATATACCTGAGTATGGTTAATTGGCTGTTTGTAGAGTAATGATTTCAAATGTTGGGTTCCTGTAGATTTTATGCTCCTTCTTTCACAAGCTTTAAAAAGTGTTATGCGCTCTCATGTTTCTAAACAGAGGCTTAGTTCTGTTATATTTTAAATGCATTTCTAAGATCAAACTTAAACTGTTATTTCCTTGGTTTGGAAAAGAGATATAACCTGCTTCAAAGAATGGGAGCGTCAAATGGTACGAGCAGGACTGTTAACGATAAGCCCTTTCGGAAGTCACTAATCTGTCCTGTCTCTGTAAATTGGGAGCATCTTGAGGGCACACAAGTGCCATGTGCCCTCTGGAGAGGGAACACCCAAACCAATGGGTCTGCTTGTTGTTTCTGGTCGGAACTTGCTTCGTGAATCTTGACCTGCCTATGTCTTCATTGAGAAATTCGATGGCATGCATCTAGATGTTTTGAATTTGGGCAACTGCTTTTGTATCAGCTCTGAGCAACAGACTTAACTATTACAAGCATTGATATAGTAGGTACCCTAGAACAGTGCTTCCCGTCCTTGGGTCCCCAGATGTTCTAGGACTACAACTCCCAGAAATCATGGCCAGCATAGGTAGCAGTGAAGGCTTCTGGGAGTTGTCATCCAAGAACATCTGGGGACCCAAGGTTGGGAACCATTGCTGTAAAACACTGGTTCTCAACCTTTGTTACTCAGATGTTTTTGGACTGCAACTCCCAGAAGCCTTCACCACCAGCTGTGCTGGCTGGGGTTTCTGGGAGTTGCAGTTCAAAAACACCTGAGTAACAAAGGTTAAGAACCACTGCTCTAAAACAAAGTCTGTAGTTATTGTTACATATCTCCCTCTTTGTAAAATAACTCATTTAGCCCATTTCATTCATGTTTTTATCTGACCCTTCTTCCAAGGAGTTTGTGGGGGGGGGGAGGCAGTTTTACTCCCAAAAGAGCCCTGGCCCTGCTTATCACTATATTTGACTTGCCTAACTGGATATCAGATAACAGGTGTTTCAGCAGTTCTCCCTAGGCCCAAGGTTATAAGAGAAGTGTAATATTAATTGTTTCGAAAACTCCTCCCCCACCCTCTTAGTGGTGTTTTACCACTCAAAGGGATGATGCATCTGCTTCTTATAACTTTCCTGTGTGCTTGTTCTAACTTTAATTATAATTCCATTTAATTTCTTCTTAGTAGTGGAGGTACTAGCAGTCGAAAAGGTATTTCGTTACCTGTAGTTGAATAGTATGAGTCTGGAGCAAGTAAACCCTTCCTCTTTGTGCACAGTACTGGCTTGAATTTTTGAAAATTTACATTTCATATTTTTTGACAGGTTTCACAGCGACAGAAGAGAGATTTGGGTGTAGACCATGCCTGTCCCACCTCCTCCAGCTCCTCCACCGCCACCAACGTTACCTGTGGTAAAGTTCACCTTTTGATTTTTATGTGCTCCTGACAATTGTACAGGTAGTCCGTGATTTGACATAAGGACATGAAGCATGTTGTCGATTCCTTGTGCTTGGACCTCAGTGGTTCAAGAGTTTAGTAGTTTTGTTCGGAGGCATAGAACCTGGTTGGCAGGCAGAAGGTCCTGGAGTCCATCACCGGCATTTCTAGAAGGAGCTGGGAAGGATTCCTGCGCAGAACCTTGGGAGCGGTGGGATGGGGTGGCAGTCAGTGTTGACAGTAATGAGCTAGCTCCATGGCTCCCCACCTTGGGTAGACCTTGTGTCCTTGGACTGCAGTTCCCAGAAGCCTTCACCACTAACTGTGCTGGCTGTGGTTTCTGGGAGTTGCAGTCCAAGAACACCTGGATCACCCAAGGTTGGGAACCACAGAGCTAGATAGACCAGTGGCCTGGCTCAGGAGAAGGCAGCTTCTTAAGTTCCTCTCGTCTCCAGAAATTGGCTGGGGAAGATGAGATACTCCACATTATGGGGTTCAGCACAACTTTCCTACTCTGAAATCATATTCCTTCCTTTTGCTTGCATCAAAACATGCACAGAGAGGCAAGATACGTCAAGGAAAGTGATTAGTATTTCCTCACAGCTGGTAGATGGGCTGCTTCTATGCCATTATATACCTCTTCCCTCTGAACTATGAGGAATACTAAGGAAAATGGTATATACTAGTGCAAAGATGGATGACTGTGATCTTCCAGATGTTTTTGAAATCCAATCCGTGATTTCCCCCCAGTGACTATGCCGGTTAGGGGTGATGAAAGTTGCTAGGGAAAAATACTTGCCTGTGTCTGCTATAATGTATTCTTTACCTAGAACTACTTTGAGGTGTCATCATGGTAGAGATGCCAGTATGATCACACTAGCAGCAAACCTAGAGTGCTGAGTGCTGAGAGAGCTGAGGAGCAACTGAGGAGTGTGAAAAAGTGGGAGTATCACCATTCTCTGAGGTCTGCAGAGGTACCCAAACAACACTCTGGAAAGAACAGAGTGGAACTAAAGCAGCTCAGTGTTTGAGACCTGAATACCAATCAAGAGACAGATAAGAGAATGGGAAGGATTAGCTGGAACTCAGATCTGGAGGACTTATTTTTAGAGGAGAGAGGATAAATGAGTTTGTCACTCTTTTCACTTGCACTTGGTTTTCAGGTCTGTCCTGTCCTGTTCTCTTTTATTTCTTCAGCAAAGAAATAAAAAAAAATACATAACATCTAGAGATCCTGTTCATCTTTTTTACATACATCGTGGCCCTTGTCTTTGTCTAGGACATCTAGTTTCCACAAGATTCACATGCATATGGGGAACCGCTTTCCAGATCTCGGATCACCTGTGCTCCATTTCCTTGTCAGAAAACCTAAGGATGCATCTAAGCATCATTACATTAACATGGGGACTGTGGCCTCAAACACTGAATTCTTGTGTTTTGATATTCCATAAATGCTGGAATTTTCCTGCTTGCGACAGCAATGATGTACGGAGTGAAGTGGAAGAATTCATCATACTGAACCGTCATGTCAAATAATGTACAAAAAATGTTACAAAAGGACAGGTGGAACTGAATTTGTTGTCCCCCCCCCTCCAGCTGCTGGGGGCTCCCAAATGCTGCTCTGTGTTCCTGCTGTGTAAGTTAATATAGAAGAGGTCTCAGAACTGAACCTAGGAACAGGACCTGGTGTTCTACTTGCCATTAGGACTTAAGTTCCATCTCTGTTACAGCTGTCCCTACCCGTCAAAGGACTCTGTTCGCCAAAGGACTCTTATCTTTAATCCAGTTGAAACAAAGGATTGCACAATGTGTTCTCGGAGGCTTTCATGGCTGGGATCCGATGGCTGTTGTGGGTTTTCAGGGCTATTTGGCCATGTTCTCAAAGTTTTTCTTCCTAACATTTCACCAGTCTCTGTGGCCGGCATCTTCAGAGGACAGAAGCTAGAACTCTGTGTTCTGGTATTCACAGCCAAACAGCCTGAAAAAACCTACAACAACCAAAGGATTGCACACTTTGTCATCTGCCTCAGTTTGCTGAGCAGTACTAAACATGGTTTTCCAAGGTGTTTAAACTGGCCATCAGCTGTTAGCATTTGAATTCCAAACCAGAATCTAAGACACTACAGTACTTCAAATTATGGTTTATGGCAGTGGTGGACAAAATGTGGCCTGTATGCTGCATGCAACCCCCATGGGCCCATGTGTGGATCCCAACTCCTTCAAAACATTTCAATTTTTTTTTTAATTTTAAAAATAAATTATGGCTCTGAAAAGTCCCTGGTATCTTCTAGAGGTCATGGTGGCACTTTTGCGATCTTTTGAGGGGCCGTCACCACTCTAGGACACCCCTCCCAACACCTCTAAACATATAAGTTAAGCTCTTTTGGCCCCCAGAAACTGCAAGAAGACATTCTCTTGGAGGTGCCCTACTCTGGCTTTATAATTTTAATATGAACAGCCAGGATTAACAATAATCAGCCAATTTGGATATGCCAGTGAATGATGGCTAGCCCTGCCCTGAGGCAGAGTGGAGCAGCCATGTCAGAGAATAAATAGATCCTATAAGGCAGAAAGTAGCGGTGTTGGGCCAGAACTATGTGGGTATTGCATGACCTGCACTGTACCCCTAAACTAAGCTAGGAAGTCAGCATTAAAGGAAGATTAATCTCTCAGCCCAATCAGTTTTGGTACAAGAAATGGCAAAAGAGTTGTAATTAGCTCTTCACCTCAGACTGCAAAACATCAGCCTTAGGTGAGAAATTAAATTTGTGTATTCTTTCCTATTTATTTGTTCCTTATGTAGTAGTAGTAGTAGTAGTAGTAG